CGATTAGATAGTAGTGGTATCATAAACAACAAGAATAAAAACAAGAACAAATTATATCAACAACAATAATAACAAAACACAGATGATCGGAGACAGATAATATATATATATATATATATATATATATATATATATATATATATATATATATATATATCTATATATATATATATATATATATATATATATATATATTTATATATATATAAAATCAATGTTTGTGTGTTTGTTTGCCCCTTATAGACTCGGAAACTACTGAACCGATTTAGCTGAAATTTTCAGGATATGTTTGTTTTGATACCGGATGTTGAACCATCATGGTTTGAAATTCAACCTGTCACTGTTAGAGATAGGTGACCACAATTTAAGCTATAATATTCGAAACTAATATTTATAATTTTAGTGATTTCTAATTATAGCCACGTTAGTAATTGCGCATGCGCCGTAGTCACCATTCGCCGGCGAGTTACGTGCAGCCAATGCCTTCTCTAATACATAGAGTAGGTCGTGGTACAGCAAACAAGACTATTTCTATATTTGCCACAATAACCATATTAAACACGATTTCTGTTTTCTGTTTTTTTTTTCCAAACAACCTTCGATTTGGGGGGGGGGGGGGGGGGGGGGGGGAGGGGCATCAAGGACTATCTCGACGTCGGCGCAGACATTGACTGCGACAATAACTTCATTAACCGTGTTAGACACGTGCGATTTCTATTGTTGTGCCGTTTCATTAATATATCTGGAGTATCTGTCTACGAGAAAACAATTGCCTGCGGTTTTGAGTTGTGTTTTAATCGGGACACAGTAGTAGGGACACACATCTCTAATAGTTAAGTTCTCTTTTCGTTGATCGGATTAAGTGGTTTGGTCGAATGGTTAGAACACTGGGTTCTTGTGCGGGAGACCTGGGTTCGAATCCGCAGTAGTAATTTTTTTTTAACCTGGACTAAAATAATATCCGTATCTGCTCTGTCGTGGTGACAGCACTAGCCATGTTGCCTTAATACTTAAAAAAAAAAAAAAAAAAAAAAAAAAAAAAAAAAAAAAAAAAAAAAAGACAAGTGAATGGGTAAACCATTTGATAATTAAATTTGACCATTTCGCATACTTATGATAGCATTTTTAAACTTTCCGATTGCATGGTTACGCTGAAATTTCATAGATGTTCATTTATTTTCATTTAGATTTAGTTATTTCATCTGCATTGGAATTTAAAGCTGTGCTGTTTACCATGGCGTTCATTTCCTAATTATGGTGTTTTTTTCCTGTGTTCATTTGCTTTTCAAGTGTTTTTTTCCCCCTCCCAACTACTTCAATGAGGGAAAGAGTTGTCGGTGAATTTAGGGGGGGGGGGAGGGGAGGCAAACTATTAACTGAGAGAGCTTTAAGTCACAGTAACTGCTTTACCCACTTAAAGTAGCAGCAGCAGTAATAGTTGTGGTTGGGCTGTTACACCATAGTGCTCTCATATGAAGACCGCCGGTAAGGTTATGGCGTTCTTCTGTCGGGAAGTTTGTTTGTTTGTTTTAGTATCCAGAAGCCTTGAGTTGTTAACCCTTAGGCTCGGTATTATGGATATCGCAACCTTTCGGCCTTGATTCCATTGTAAATACCGTAAATCTGGGAGAAAATGTGGCTTTCCTGCCTACCCCCGGGATTGAACCCGGACCACAAGGAGTACGTCACCCGGTCTCCGCGAAATCCGGTTTAGCCAATTCCGCTAGAGAGCCGGGCTTCTGTCGGGAAGTGAAATTATACATCCTAACCTGACCAGTCTGTGGCGACAGCACTAGCCATGCGGAACAAAATCTTCTGGCTCATGACTATCTGTCTACTCCGATGGTAACACAGATAGTAGTGACATTTTTTTAGCTACTGTTGTGGTGGTCGTGGTAGTAGTTGTACTGGTACTTGAATGATGATGTGGTAAATATTACACTAGCCCCATTCACTACCTATTACAATTCCTGCTCCCCATTTTAGTCCGGATGGACAGGGATGTCAATGTCAGTTACAGCAACAACAAAATATCGCCAGGTAATGATTTTCAAATCCTTCGAAGAGGGAGAGAGCAGTAGTCGGTGTTGTTACTGTGCTAATAACACCATTTAAACGACCACTAATATAAAGACACAATTATAAGGTTCGTGTTCTAAAGTTGGAAAACCAAACTATCTCTATATCTGTGCAGAGAATGATTGCGACATTAACTATATTAGACAAGTGCGATTTCCATTGTCTTTCTTTTCCAAAAACCTTTGATGAGGGAGAGAGTAGTAGGTGGATTTAGTTGTGGTGGTGATTGGGGGGGGGGGGAGGGGGGGGGGGATCAAAGACTATCTCTATATCTGAGCAGACACTGATTGTATTAGACACGTGCGATTTCTATTTTCTTTCATTTCCATTTAGCCAAACTATGCCACAGCAACGCGTGGCTGGGTACAGCTAGTGTATATATATATATATATAGACACATACATAGAGAAAGAGCGAGAGAAAGAGAGAGAGAGACAGACGGAGAGAGAGACAAGACTGAGAGAGACAGAGCGAGATAGGAGAGAAAAGAAAATGAAAATAGAGACATACTGGTGTTGTACCCACCCGCAGGCAGTATAGGAATAAAAGAATTGAATGTTATCTTCATAAAATACTTGATTATATTATGTCGTCAATCATACACGAGATAGGATGATCTCATACATTAGGCACAATTATCTCATAAAATCAAACACAGGAATGAATGAGCTCTTAAATCATACTGGGAAAAGAATGATCTCTCTCTCTCTCTCTCTCTCTCTCTCTCTCTCTCTCTCTCTCTCTCTCTCTCTCACACACACACACACACACACATCAACCATCAGAGAGAATTCATAGCACGCGACCTGTTGTTCCCGAAACGATGTTCCTTGGCATTGAAATGTTCACTGGTGCCACTTCTCTAGTGCTACAGTTTCACAGTTTTCAGATGGCGGAGGGAACATGGCTGTAGACCCAGCCTAGGTTAGAGTGTGACTGTGAGTGTGGACCTAGCCCAGGTTAGAGTGTGACTGTAATTGTAGACCCAGCCCAGGTTAGAGTGTGACTGTGAGTGTGAACCCAGCCCAGGTTAGAGTGTGACTGTGAGTGTGGACCTAGCCCAGGTTAGAGTGTGACTGTAATTGTAGACCCAGCCCAGGTTAGAGTGTGACTGTGAGTGTGAACCCAGCCCAGGTTAGAGTGTGACTGTAAGTGTGGACCCAGCCCAGGTTAGAGTGTGACTGTGAGTGTGGACCCAGCCCAGGTTAGAGTGTGACTGTGAGTGTGTGCCCAGCCTAGGTTAGAGTGTGACTGTGAGTGTGAACCCAGTCTAGGTTACAGTGTGACTGTGAGTGTGTGCCCAGCTTAGGTTAGAGTGTGACTGTGAGTATGTGCCCAGCCTAGGTTAGAGTGTGACTGTGAGTATGTGCCCAGCCTAGGTTAGAGTGTGACTGTGAGTGTAAGCTCAGCCTAGGTTAGAGTGTGACTGTGAGTGTGAACTCAGCCCAGGTTAGAAATTGACTGCGAAAATAGGCCAGTAAACACATAAAGAATTGTTTATTTAATCAAATTAAATACAGATGTGAATATGGACAGAAACATCTTTCTGGCCCATATCTCCGCATTAGGAAGATTACAGAATCGATTCTCAGACAACTGGGATGTTGTATCTCCACGAGCAGGAATCGATCCTACCCACGTCTACTCAATCAGGAAATTAGTGGCAAACCAGGTGTGGCCAACATGGCGGCCAGACGAATCACATTGCACACTAGCCGGTAGATTAAAGACAATTATCTCTGACTAACGGGGACTCAGTACAACAGAGCTGCTGGTCGTAGAGTGTGCCATAGGGGGATCGTAGGTGTCCACTGGAAACCCAACTAGAACTATGTCCAGTCCCGAGTGGTCACTTACTGCCAGAGGAAACCCGACTAGAACTATGTCCAGTCCCGAATGGTCACTTACTGTCAGGGGAAACCCAAGTAGAACTATGTCAAGTCCCGAATGGTCACTTACTGTCAGAGGAAACCCAACTAGAACTATGTCCAGTCCCAAGTGGTCACTGACTGACAGGGGAAAGCCCACTAGAACTGGCACGGATGTTCCGTGAAAGGGATCTCTGAGACCGTTACTTTTCTGCTGTTTACTGTCCCGTGTAACTGTCATGACGGTTACTGTCATTTCAGTTGCTGTTATGTCGTCTACTTTCCTGTAGATTGAGCCGGGAATGCAGAGACTGGCCAGCAGGTGCCACAGAGGTGACAACTCAGCCATTAATTTAAGATAATGCTCGCTCAGAGGATTTTAATAATTTATACAGACGGTTCAGTGTCAAGAGGCAAAAGAAGTGCTTGCGGTTTATTAGCAAAAGTTAATGGTCGACGTTTGGTGCAGGAGAGCCTAGCATATGATACCACAACATCTAGCTTAAAAATGGAGGTGGAGGCGGTCCCTGCAGCTTTCCGCTGGCTAGAGAACACGACACACACACACACACACACACACACACACACACGCACGCGCGCGCACAAAATGATTGTGACTGACTAAGAAAACATGCTGAGGAAGATCCGGACAGGAATGCCTCGTGCAGAGTGGTACGCTTCACTGTGGAGGACACGGGTGAGGAGTATTGTCTTGATTTTTTTCTTGATACGCTAGTGTGTTGGTAAATGAACAGGTGGACAGACTGGCTGGCTGAGCCCAACGTGGTAGGATAATGATGTGTGATAAGGCAGACGTGGTTGGTGCATTGTGGAAGAGCGTGTACAGTTCGGAGGAGCAGATGTATGACTGCCACCCTCTAATGTATGACTGCCACCCTCTAATGTATGACTGCCACCTTCTAATGTATGACTGCCACCTTCTAAAGTATGAGTGCCACCTTCTAATGTATGACTGCCACCCTCTAATGTATGAGTGCCACCTTCTAATGTATGACTGCCACCTTCTAATGTATGAGTGCCACCTTCTAATGTATGTGCCACCTTCTAATGTATGAGTGCCACCTTCTAATGTATGACTGCCACCCTCTAATGTATGAGTGCCACCTTCTAATGTATGACTGCCACCCTCTAATGTATGAGTGCCACCTTCTAATGTATGACTGCCACCCTCTAATGTATGACTGCCACCTTCTAATGTATGACTGCCACCCTCTAATGTATGAGCGCCACCTTCTAATGTATGAGCGCCACCTTCTAATGTATGAGCGCCACCTTCTAATGTACGAGCGCCACCTTCTAATGTATGAGTGCCACCTTCTAATGTAGACCGTCTGGTTGATTCACTGTTACCTATTGCTGCATAAAACACTCAGGTTCAGCCAGACCCTCCTCCTTTTGCAGTCCGGCTTGGGACCGGTCTTAGCGGAGTCTATATGTTACCGTGTCTATGTGTTACCTTGTCTGTATGTTCCCGTGTCTGTATGTTACCGTGTCTGTATGTTACCTTGTCTTTACGTTATCGTGTCCATATGTTACCTTGTCTTTACGTTATCGTGTCCATATGTTACCTTGTCTATATGTTACCGTGTCTGTATGTTACCGTGTCTATGTGTTACCGTGTCCATATGTTACCGTGTCTATATGTTACCGCGTATATATGTTACCGTGTCTATATGTTACCGTGCCTATATGTAACTGTGTCTATATGTTACTGTGTTTATATGTTAACGTGTCTTTATGTTACCGTGTCTATATGTTACCGTGCCTATATGTTTTAGGTTAGTTGCGTATCCTATACAGGACGTTGCAGAACCAAACACAGCAGCCCATGGCTGTTGTCTTGTTTCTATAGACACATTTACGTCCAGTTGATTGCCATTGCCTACTGGACGGTCAGCCCCCTGATACCACCGTCAAAACCAACACCGTTTTTATATATTAACATGTCTGCATGTTACCGTGTCCATTTGTTACTGTGTCTATATGTTACCGTGTCTATATATTAACGTGGCCATATATTCCCGTACCTATATTTTAGGTGTCTATAAGTTATCATGTATTTATGTTACGATGTCTTTGTGTTACCGAGTCTTTACGTTAGAATGTCTATATGTTACTATGTATTTATGCTTGTCTATATGTTACCGTGTCTATATGTTACCATGTCTATATGTTACCGTGTCTATATGTTACCGAGTCTATATGTTACCGTGTCTATATGTTACCGTGTCTATATGTTACCGTGTCTAAATGTCACCGTGTTAGTGTCTATATGTCCCCTGTCTATTTCTACCCCTGTCTAGATATAACAGTGTCTTATGTTACCATGTCTATATGTTGCCATGTTTATATGTTACCGTGCCTTTATGTTATCGTGTCTATATGTTACCATGTCTTTATGTTGCCATGTCTATATGTTACTATGTCTGTACGTTGTCATGTATTTATGTTACCATGATTTTGTGTTACAGTATCTATATATTACAATGTATATACCATACCATGTCTATATCTTATCGTGTCTATATGTTCCCGTGTCAATGCGTTATCGTGTCATTATGTTATTATGTCTCTATGTTACCGTGTCTATTTCTTACCGTGTCTATATGTTTGCGTGTCTATATGCTGCCTAATCTGTATGTTACCGTGTCTGTATGTTGCTGTGTCCATATTTTTCCGGGTCTATATGTTGCCAAGTCTGTATGTTCCTGTGTCTATGTGTTATTGTGTCTATGCGTTATCATGTCTATATGTTACCGTGTCCATTTGTTACAATGTCTATTTGTTACTATGTCTTTATGTTGTCTAATCTATATGTTACCATATCTGTATGTTACCGTGTTTATATGTTACCTTGTTTATATTTTACCGTTTCTTAATGTTACCGTATTTATATGTTATTGTATGTATATGTTATTGTATCTATACATTTCCGCGTCTACATGTTACCATGTCTATATGTTCATGTGTCTATGTGTTATCGTAACTATATGTTACCGTGTCTATATGTTATCTAGTCTATATGTTACAGTCTATATGTTAACGTGTTTATCTGTTATGGTGTCTTTATGTTACTGTGTTTATATGTTATCGTATATATATATATATATATATATGTGTGTGTGTGTGTGTGTTTGTGTGTGTGTGTTACTGTATCTATATATTCTAGTATCCTTATGTTACCGTGTCCAAATGTTACCGTGTCTATTTGTCCCTATTTTTGAGCACTCTTTGTCTATGTATAGGAGAAGTACAGGAACAGAGGTAAATTCCCTTTCAACGGTTCAATATAGGTTCCCTCAGAACATAAAGTTCCCTGTAAGTTCCCTCACACTTGTACAAATATAAGTAAGTTCCCTCACAACTGTACAAATACAAGTAAGTTCCCTCACAACTGTACAAATACAAGTAAGTTCCCTCACAACTGCACAAATATAAATAAGTTCCCTCACAACTGTACATATATAAGTAAGTTCCCTCACAATAATACATTCTCTCACAACTGTACATATACAAGTAAGTTCCTTCACAAGTGCACAAATATAAGTTCCCTCACAACTGCACAATTGTAAGTTCTCTCGCAACTGTACATATATAAGTAAGTTGCCTCACAACTGCACAAATATAAGTAAGTTCCCTCACAACTGCACAAATATAAGTAAGTTCCCTCACAACTGCACAAATATAAGTAAGTTCCCTCACAACTGCACAAATATAAGTAAGTTCCCTCACAACTGCACATATATAAGTAAGTTCCCTAACAACTGCACAAATATAAGAAAGTTCCCTCACAACTGCACAAATATAAGTAAGTTCCCTTACAACTGCACAAATATAAGTAAGTTCCCTCACAACTGCACAAATATAAGTAAGTTCCCTCACAACAGTACATTCTCTCACAACTGTACATATACAAGTAAGTTCCGTCACAACTGCACAAATATAAGTTCCCTCACAACTGCACAATTGTAAGTTCCCTCACAACTGCACAAATATAAGTTCCCTCACAACTGCACAAATATAAGTTCCCTCACAACTGCACAATTGTAAGTTCCCTCACAACTGCACAAATATTAGTAAGTTCCCTCACAACTGTAAAAATATAAGTAAGTTCTCTCACAACTGTACATTCTCTCACAACTGTACAAATATAAGTAAGTTCCCTCACAACTGCACAAATATAAGTAAGTTCCCTCACAACTGCACAAATATAAGTAAGTTCCCTCACAACTGCACATATATAAGTAAGTTCCCTCACAACTGCACAAATATAAGTAAGTTCCCTCACAACAGTACATTCTCTCACAACTGTACATATACAAGTAAGTTCCGTCACAACTGCACAAATATAAGTTCCCTCACAACTGCACAATTGTAAGTTCCCTCACAACTGCACAAATATAAGTTCCCTCACAACTGCACAATTGTAAGTTCCCTCACAACTGCACAAATATAAGTAAGTTCCCTCACAACTTCACATATATAAGTAAGTTCCCTCACACCTGTACAAATATAAGTAAGTTCCCTCACAACTGTACATTCTCTCACAACTGTACAAATATAAGTAAGTTCCCTCACAACTGCACAAATATAAGTAAGTTCCCTCACAACTGCACAAATATAAGTAAGTTCCCTCACAACTGCACATATATAAGTAAGTTCCCTCACAACTGCACAAATATAAGTAAGTTCCCTCACAACAGTACATTCTCTCACAACTGTACATATACAAGTAAGTTCCGTCACAACTGCACAAATATAAGTTCCCTCACAACTGCACAATTGTAAGTTCCCTCACAACTGCACAAATATAAGTTCCCTCACAACTGCACAATTGTAAGTTCCCTCACAACTGCACAAATATAAGTAAGTTCCCTCACAACTTCACATATATAAGTAAGTTCCCTCACACCTGTACAAATATAAGTAAGTTCCCTCACAACTGTACATTCTCTCACAACTGCATATATATAAGTAAGTTCCCTCACAAGTGCACAAATATAAGTAAGTTCCCTCACACCTGCACATATATAAGTAAGTTCCCTCACTACTGCACAAACATAAGTAAGTTCCCTCACAACCGCACAGAAATAAGTTCCCTCACAATTGCACAATTGTAAGTTCCCTCACAACCCCACAAATGCACGTTCTTTCACAAGCAAACAAATGTAAGTTCCCTAACAACGGACGATGACCCGCAACCTGTTACTTACCTGCAGATGAAAGCACTGGACCCAGGTGATACAGATCCCGCCTGCCTGGCGTCCGGGAAGATTGCAAATACGACTGTGAAAACCAGTCAACTCAAAGCTGAGCGAGTACTGCTACAACTCACCGGTTCCTGGGAGCCAGGCTGGCAGTCCGGCTCACGTCGGCCCGCGTTCCTGCTCTCAGCTGGCGCTATCCTGGCCTCTTTGTACGTTGTTCTGTGACCTACTTCAACCAGGGAAGGTAAACTGGCTCAAGTGTTGATGTCTCCGGAAATTAATGGCATCTACCTCTGGATGCACCCCCCCCCCCCACCCCCCTCTCCACTGCGATCTGGCTTACAGAAGTGGGGGTCTGGAGGGGCCCGGAAGTGGATGAGGTAGCAACAAGCAATTAGAAACAGTTAGAAAGGTGAGAGGCGGCGGTATCGTCGGATTGCCGGGGACGGAGCTGAGGCCTCTGATAATGATATGGCTCTGTGGTGATTTCACACATCAGCAACGTCGTCGCCTTGTCGACCGTCAATCCTACAAGATTCCGTAGATACTACGTTACTCTCCTAGAACTTTCCATTAAATAGACATCAAATATATCACTAATTCCAGATTTCACACATCAAATACATTATAAAACACAGATGAAGGGTTCACAAATCCATTTCACTTTCAGAAGATTTGGAATTGTTACACATACACATGCGCACGCACACACACACACACACACACACACACACACACACACACACGATATAACAAATGCCCAAAGGATCGTATTAGGCTATGTATAACGTGCGCAGCTGCATGGTGCGGCAGAAGTTAAGGGACCACCCATTATAAACAGTTGTAAAACAATTGAGAATATTTGTATTGCTGTTATCATGATCAGACCTGCGTTAGATGAACCTTCCTTGGCCTCGTGTTGTCACGGCTGTACTCGGTCGACTGCAACAGACCAATGGAAACTCGCAACCAGATGTTATATATCTAAACATTTAGGTATTCAAGGTTATGTTGGCGTTTCATCATTTCACGCCATTCTTCTTAGCAAAAACTAACCATCCTAGACGAAGATTAAAATGGTATCAGAGTGTAAGAACAACACCATGTATCAAATAACAG